GTGTCTGCCAGACCCATCGCATCAAGATGAATTTCAGCATCAAGCACCCAAGATATGTAGCTTTTGCCCGATATATCCAGGGCTACAAATTCAAGTTTAGAAAGATTTGACATTATTTAGGAAAAGAAAGTTCTTACCTCAGATACTTTCAAAATATTTGCTCGAGATGACAGAGTCTCGTGCTGATAATGTGTTATAAAATAAAGACTATAAAGTAAAGACAAGTATAGAGAGAAACTGATATATTATTCGAATTCAAACTGATGTACATAATGAACTGAAATCTCTTATATTTATAGAAGAAAGGAAGCTGCTGTGTAAGCTGTTACTATACCAGATATGGATAATCTTCTACTGAGAGCAATGTTTATCCATAACGGAGTACTGAAAGGATAAGCTTATTATATCCGATATGGATAATCTTCTACCGGGGGTAATGTTTATCTATAATTGGGTACTGAAAGGATAAGCTTATTATACCCGGTATGGATAATCTTCTACCGGGTAATGTTTATCCATAACTGGGTACTGAAAGGATAAACTTATTATACCCGGTATGAATAATCTTCTATCGGGGTAATGTTTATCCATAACCGGATATCGAAGTGATTCAGGAAGCTTATTTCCAATAGAGTACTTAAATAGATAAACATATTTACGGTGGAGTCCCATATGGATAAGCTTGTTCAGCAAGCTTATTTAAGACGGAGTATAACACTCGTTATTTTGACCTTCCCTCTTTTTTTTTTTCGGTCTCTTCTTTTTACCTTGATAAAAAAGCCTTAAAAAAGGCGCTCATCTTTCTCAAAACTCTCCTTGGTTCTAACGATTTAGGGTTCAGAGAAATTCTTTCTTTCTTCTGAAATGGCAAGTTCTCTTTCTCTCTTTAATGTCCCATTATTTGAATTATCATTGATTTAAGTAATTTATCTGTGCGATTTTTCGGGATTGACATTGCGAAAGTAGTTGATATCCGATTCTAATTCCTCTTAGTTTGATATCTGTGCGATTTTAATTTGTGTAATGTGAATTTCAGCAATTACTTTTGAAGTGTGCTTGTACCTGAATCTCGTCGCAAAAGGTACAACTCGAATTGGAGCTCTCTGTCCTCTCCTTCCTAATCTGTTGAAAGGTCAAATTAGGGTTTTTATTATGTTTTCCTAATATCTGAATTTCGGTAGTTTCTGTACATGATTTGATTAGGTTCTCTCTGCTCCAATTTTAGTAGTTTTTGCACGCGGTTTGATTTAGGTTCTCTCTGTACGCTATTGCTGGAAATTTGTAACAGCAATGGAAACGAAGGTTTACAATCAATGAAATCAATGATCTTCAGAGAATTCGTTAACTGTAACTTATACTGCAAAAAATTATTCTAAGCAAAAGAAGATTTGGCTCATTTCAGAAATAGAAAACAGAAACAAAAAAAGAGAAAGATTCAAAGTTGCACTTTTCTTCTAATTGCTACTGTTTCTGCTTCACTTTTCTGGGATTTCATTGGTATTTTAAGCAGTTAAAGGAGATGTGTAGCTGCTGGGCTTAGTTTCTGGATTTGCTGAACTCATTTATCTATTTCTACCTTTATTTGGCTCATTTCAGTTATTTAGTTGTTTGATTAGGTAAGTCTCAAATGCCTTTGTACTTTTATTCCTCTGAAATGATAGAACTGCCAGTATATATGCCATTCACCCATAGATCTATTTGACCTTATCTATATTATGTTTGGATAATAACATGTATTGATTTGAATATATTGTACATGAGATGCAAATTTGAGTGAACGGTCATGAAGTGGATGAATGTTGACAGTTATTACTACTTCTATTGGTGTATGCACTGTGTAACGCTTGTTCATGAATTCTGTTTGTTTGAAATGAATCATTTTCATCCCACTGCCCAAATACTTGACCCAGGGACAGCCCAAAGATTTGTACAATTAGAGAATATAATTATATTTGGCATAGTAAATGCCATATTGGCTAAGCATCCACAAGTATGTACTATGTTAGATTAATACTGTAATCTTCTGATTACTTAGACTTCTGTTTATGGAATCATCATGTGCTTTTGTTCTTTAAACATGTATGGGTTGTGATTGTTCTTCTTTGTGTTGTCTTATTTTTCTTTGTTGCTCTTGTCCTCTGCTTGTTAATTATGGTAGAGAAGTACAGAAGTGTTTGTAATTGTGGTCAGTGGGGAAATTTAACAAAAATTTTGGCTTCTGTGAAGTGTGGACAGAATGGTTGTAACATATACTTTGAGGTTGTCAAACTCATTTTATGGTTGTGTGCGACCATTAGCTTTATATGAACATATTTTAACATTTTAGTTTTATCTCCTCAGTTATTTGAATATATGAAGAAGGAAAGGCTTTATTAGTTCAAAATACCTTAAATTTGATTTTTGTGTCTATTTCTGTTGACTGTATTTCTGCATTTGCAATACAGTCATGCAGAAATATTCAGCGGGGATCAAATTACACAATTTTGTGTGGAGACTCCCATTGACACAGTAGAGGGCTGGTGAACTACTATCATTGATCCCTGAATGTTGTTACTGAGTTTCACATTAATGTAATGCGATCATAAATAGTAAATTAAATCATTGACTTTAGCTGATATGATTGACAGATGATTAACCGCTTCACTGGTTCTTTTGCTGTGTCTGTAAGAAATGATTAGGTATTTCTGCATGGTATAGTCAAACAAGAATTGTTTCTGTACTTGCAAGCACTATTAGTGTAGCAGAATGAATGTTAATAAATGGCATATGTGTGAAAGCAGTTTCGAATGCAAATGCACTGTTAATTTTGGTCTGGTGATGAACGATTATCTGTACTACTTGAGAGATTCCCTAGGAAGAATGTTCCCTCTTCATTGGTTGTTGTAGGTTACATTCTTTGCTTAAACAACTAGGTCAGAAAAGAAATAATATGGATTAATTAGTAATTATTGAGATCTGAAATCTCTGAGGAAATAGGATAGGAAGGATCCTTCTTTGTACTATAACTGAAACAGGACAGATATCCAATTCTTAAGTCATTTCCTGTCACTGCTAAACAGTCATTAGTTTCAATGTGTTTGTTAAAGAATCTGCGCATCCAATCCTAATTTAATCACTACTTGGGAGAATTAAAATGTTCTTTGTTAAGCACTTTTGGACTCTACTTCATTCAAATAAGAATATTGCTTCGGATGGAAAAACTTTGAAACTCTCAGTTAAAGCAATAAGTTAACTCATGAATAGCCTCATTTTTTTCAAAGTCATGGAAAGAAGAAGATAAATGTAGAAAGAAAAACATAATGAAGTAGAGTCCAAAAGTGCATTTACACTAACAGACTAACAAATATGTTCTGCATTTTACTTTGGAGGTTGGGCCTATAAATTATCTTGCAGAACGATTTCAATGTCCCACGAGAAATGATTTGTCCCTTTCTAGTTTATGTTTCAGTACTTCTGATCTTGAAAATTTTAGATAATACACCTTTCATTTCTAGCAGAAATTAAGTAGATCATATCTATTGCTCAATAAAGCAAACTATATGGTGGTAAGTACCATTGATAATGAAATGTATCCGCAAAAACAGAAACTGAAAGAAATATTCAAATTGCCAGAATGATGTTGCATGCAGTATTGAATACAAGGCAACTTTTTAGCTTTTTATCAATTTCTACAAAAGTTAGTTCGATCTTTTAAGTTGGTGTTTATTTTTAAAGATTCGCAAGGAGCTACCAAGAAACTCAAAGTAAAGGTTAAGGATGTGATGTATTTATCCGATGGAAAATGTGTTGTGGTTGAATTTGATGATACGGATCAGCCAATTGGAGAAGAGCAAGGTGTTCTTGCAGGCTTTTGTGGAATTTTAGCAACCGACTGCTCCTTATTTCCAATTCACTTCAACAATTGGCCAGATTTACCTAAGTCATACTTCAATGGTTGCTTTGATCGAATTATAAAGGTATAAGCTCTATTTTCTTATTGTTGTAACTCTGTTGTATGTCGTTAGACTGTATATTTGCATGTAATAGATTAGCTAACAGAAGTTTTATTCCTGTAGCCACGATTCTGTTTTAAGACAACTGAGTTAAATGCACGAGCATATGTTTATAGTTCTATTAGAAAGAAGTGGAGTTCAGGAAGGCAAAGGTTGTGGTATGAGTTCAATGACCCACTTAAGACCAAAGCATGGATTATGGATAATGTTCCATCAGGGATTCCACGGGATGAATGGACTTCTTATGTCTCTTACCGTTTTAATGAAAAGACAATGGTATTTATTTGAATGCTTCAATTAGTATGTGTAATTATATACTTTTTTATTTGTATATTTGAGTTATGTGTATTTTTATAAGGGAATGAGTAAAAGAAATGTTGAAATTCGGAAGAAACAAACTATTGCACACACTGGTGGTTCCAAACCAAACTCCAGAAGAAGAGCTGAAATGGTGATAAATGTTAATTCAATATGTTGTACTTTAATTAAACTTGCAAACTGTTCCTATTTAGTCAAGTTATTCTGACTTGATTTTTCATTTATAGATGGCTGAATCTGGACAAAACCCTGGACGAGCGCAACTCTATCTTGCTACTCATAAGAAGGAAGATGGGTCATTAATGAAGCAGCAAGAGAAATATGTGTAAGTTTCTACTTGTTAAAAACTTCATCCTAACAGACACTTCAGAGCAACTATGCCACTGGTAGTTAAAATGAACGGACAATCACCTGAGGAAATGATGTACAGATTCTGATGTAATGTGACATAAACTAAAATTATGAAAATATATAGTATTAGCTTATCTTTTTATAAATTGATAAGTATAGCGTAATACTGAACATCTCAATTCCAGTTGGGACGATATCTTGAACAATACAACCATATTTGAAACATAACTGACTCTTCTAAAAGTAAGGCAATTATTGTCTTACAAAATAAACATTATGATGAGAATATTTGTAAAGTACCATAACTTTACCATACCATAAATGCCAAATCCAACCTTGTTTGTGGCGTGATAACTCGAGCACGAGGTATAGAACTTGATGGAATGAAACTATTCCTTATGCAAATGAATGACCTTTTGCAGTTATCGCCTTTTGTAGCAACCATAATCTTGTAATGTTCTACTTCATTGCATTCTTCATTCAATTTTTGGAGCCATAATTTGTATAGAGTACCAACCACAGTTCACATTGTATATGAAGGTGGAAATATTGCATATCAGTGAATTATGTGATTGAGTTTGATATTATACTTTCCTTTGAGAAACTCCACCAGTACTATGTTCTGTTATGTCTTCTTTTGTTTGTCTCTACTTGATAAGATGTCAAGACTGAACTTGCTTAAACTTGAAAAAAAAACACTGATTGATTTAAATAATTATCATGATGAAGCCAAATATTAGGCCTTACGGCTCCCCAAGTGATCACAGTGCTTTATGTTAAAGCTGTAACCTATTATGATGGCAAGTATATCTAAAGTTTATAAATTTGACCATAAACATGGACTTTTCTTTGCCATATAAGACAGAATTCTGAATAACATGGTGTTGGGACCTTGGGGTAAAAAGAGCTATTTTTTCTGTAACACTTCATGGGACTATTACCTCCTCAAACAAGAGTTAGAATAGACAATTTATCTGTATAACTTACCTGATATGGATGCTGATCTTGTGCAGGAATCTGTCAAAATTCTTGTACATTCCTTCATCTCTGTGTTTTTGTATCAGAGAATATATTTAAAGCATGATTGCTTACTGAACTGGCCTTTGCTTCACTACTTTATTGGGGATACCGGGTTTAGTGTGTTTAGAGTAACCACTGCATTGTGCTTATATTAAGAAACCCCATGCTTAGTGTAATAAATTTGTTTTCAAAGTGATTGCTAATGTCCTATTACAGAATATCAGTCAATATTTTGTTTTCAAAGTGACTAAAGAATATACATTATCCTTATGTTATCATTTACTAATTGAAGTTATGACAATGAATTTTGTGCATATTATATTCAAGAAAAAAATTGAGCTAGTTGTAAGTCAAAGCGCCACAGATGAGTCTGAAGTTTCACCAAATGATGCCGTTGGTAAGGTGCTAGGAAAAGAGCATTCTGCAAGGGTAAGGTGCTTGGGGTTAGGAGCTATCCCGAGTAAAATTTTTAGACAAACAAGACGTCGTTTTGGAGGTATAAATTCTTCCAGTTATGATAATGGTTCATGTTCGTCCAAATGCGAAGAGAAGTACAATCAGATTGTAAATGCTTACAATCAAAGCCAAGAGAACTATGTTTAAATGATGACTGCACACCACAAAATGATGAATGCTTTCAAGACATACGATTATGAAAGAAGGGATAATACCTGAACAGTTTGCTGGGATTTTCGTTTCTCCTCCTCCGGCAGCGGCAAATAAAATCTAGCTATATGTAGTTTTTTAATTTGAAAAACTAAAGAAAAAAAACTTTAAATGCTTTTTATTTCTTTGCAGCCAAGTGATGCAGCTAGCGGATCCATTTCACCTATGGGCGTAAGAGGATAATATGGTGATAGTAATCTTAATGAAAATCATTGAATTTCTTTGCAAATGTAATAGATGATTAAGTATGATACTTTACTTGAATGGTTGAACTAGATATTTTGTGTTTAAGTTTAGTTTTTGAGATTAATGACAATACTATCTCCTTATGATTCTATAGTATGTGGATGTTACTTAACATTTATGCATCTTTAGTATTATGTTAATGCCTCTTAAAATTTATTTAATATAATTAAAATATTGTATTAGAAAAACAGGTATCCTCACAATTGCCTTCCAAAAAAAAGGTCTTCATGGAATAGGGGAGGTTACAATTGCCATTAAATAAACAAATTGAGGGGGTTAAAGTTGCTGTGAAAATAGAATTTCTCATATTTCGAAAATATATTGCGGAGGTTTAAACCGTTGCAACTTGATTATTTTGCGGCGATTTCACCCCCCATTGAATACTTATTACAAGTTGCGCATTGATTAAAATTTTAATTTGTGGAGGTTAAACCGTTTGAAAATAACCTCTGCTAAATAGTTACGGCGGGCTGTAAAAAATTGTCACAAAATGATTGCGACGAACCTTACAGCTGGGGTTTTGAAGACCGCCGCGATATAAAATAACGGGGGTCGCTGACCGCCTTAAAACATGAAAATACCCTCCGCAAATAGGCTATTTTTTTTGTAGTGTTGAGTGAAACCGCAGATGCGGTATGTGAACCGCACCTGTGTGACCACAGATGCAGAGGTAGAGTCGCAGGTGCGGAAGGTGACTTAAGTGATGACCGCAGAAGCGGTGTTCGGACCGCAGAAGCAGTTGCGCAGTAGCGTGGAATTGGCCGCAGGTGCGAAATGCCTGGGCTAGAAGGTATAAAAGGATTCCTTTGCGATTTTTGAGTTGTTCTTCACCATTTCAAGTCGGTTTTGGAGCTTTTTGGGAGATTTTGAAGAGGGAATCAAGGGATATCGTCTGGAGGTAAGATTTTTGAGTCTAATAATCGATCATATGGCATTATTTCACTGATTTGGCATAAGATTAATGGAGATTAATGGTTAAAAATTGGGAAACTAGGGCTTGGTATTGAAGACCTTGACTTGAGGATTTGAGGGGCCATTTGTGGTCGAATTTTGAGACTTTTGATATGTATGAATTCGTGGGAAAATAAAGAATCTATTGATGTAAATTTTATCGAATTCTGAGACGTGGGCCCGGGGGTCGGGTTTTGGTTAATTTCAGGATTTATGTTGTAAATTGATTTTTTTCACATGGGCTTCGTGCCCTTAGCATATTTTGACGTCGTGATTCTGCTTTTGGATAGATTCGACGCGAGTTGAGGCCGATTCGAGGGGCAAAGGCGTCGCGGGCTAGAGTTTGGACCCGATTGAGGTGAGTAATAATTTTAAATGTTGTCCTGAGGATATGAAACCCCGGATTACACATCGTTGTACTCTATTGAGGTGACTCACACGCTAGATGACGAGCGTGAGGTCATGCACTGTTGGAGATTTTTACTTAGTCCATCTCGAATGACGGTTTTATCGCGTATTTGATTGAAAACTGTTTGCTATCATCATGTTTTGGACTGAATGTCATATTTGGGCCTCGTGCCAACTATTTGGACCTTATGGAATTTTTACTAATATTTCCTCACTGTTTTGACTTTATACTTGTACTCAGTCATGCTATATTCCACTATTTTCATAACTCAGCCATGTTTACTCTGTTTTAACACATTAAATGATATTTTAAATGATAATTTGGACTAAGCATCATGTTTTATTGTTGCCCGAATGTCTTATGAGATTCTGACTAAGTAAGGCCGAGGGCCTGTGTTGTGAGGACACACTAATTTATGATTATGAGGCCGAGGGCCTGAGTTGTACGCCATGAGGTGGCTTGATATGAGGCCGAGAGCCTATTGATTATGCCACGAGATGACTTGATATTGCGCTTGGGCCGTAAGGGGCCCCTCCCAGAGTCTGCACACCCCTAGTGAGCGCAAGTACCCATTGTGATATGAGATATAGCCCGAAGGGCTGGTGTTGTTCCATGATATTGCCCGAAGGGCGGATTCTATTGACATTGTGCCCGAGGGACAGATTTTTATGTGTTTATCTATTCTAGCTGCTTTTCATTTAATTGTTTAACTGTTAAAAAAGTGTTTTAAAGAAGCTTATTCTGAACCAAGGTGTCTTTATATGTTTTCACCGTTTCATTATTTCACTGTTTCATTGCTTTTACTGGTTTTATACTGCTTCAGTATGGCATGTTGATGTGCTTTTACGTGATTTCTTATCGCTCAGCCTTCATTTATTGTTATTACTCACTGAGTTGGAGTACTTACTTTACTCCCCGCACCCTGTGTGCAGATTCAGGTGCTTCAGGTTCCGCTAGCGAGTGTTGATTCTTCCAGCTTAGGCGGATTTCGGAGTTCACTAGGCAGCTGCTCGGCTTTCGCAGCCTAGTGATTCTCCCCCTATCTTATTTTTCTCTTGTTTTAGTTCTGTAATGGACTATGTAGACTGTTCCTGTTTTAAAATCGGTTAGTAGATGCTCATGACTGGTGACACCCCGATGTCGGGCTATGTCTCTTCCGCAAATTATATTATTCACCTTTATTTTGGGATTATTATTATGTTAAAGACTTAATTTATTATTTTAATGGCTTAAAATGTATTGGGTGTGTGTTGGCTGGCTTTGTGTTCCCGAGAGGCGCCATCGCGACCGGGTCTGGGTTTAGGGTCGTGACAAGTTGGTATCAGAGCCTAGGTTACATAGGTATCACAAGTCATGAGCAGGTTTAGTAGAGTCTCGCGGATCGGTACAGAGACGTCTCTATTTATCCTCGAGAGGCTGTAGAACCTTAAGGAAAAACTTCATATTCTTGAAATTCTTGTCGTGCGAATATGTTAATTCGAGTACTAAACTTTTGTTATTCTATTCTCTCACAGATGGTGAGGACACGCACCACCGGTCAGGATGGATGACCACCAGTACCACCAGCTATGGCCACTAGAGGCCAAGGATGTGGTCGTGGTCGCAGTAGGGGCAGGGGTGTGGCCCACACAGCAGCTAGGGCAGCACCTGCAGATCCACCAACCGCCCCGGTTCAGGATCAGATCCCAGTTGTGGACGCTCCAGCAACACCAGCTATGCCCATTGCGATTCCGGGTCTTCAGGAGGCCTTGGCTCAGATTCTATCCGTATGCACTGGCCTAGCTCAGACAGTCTCAGTTACTACAGCCGCATCTACTTCTCAGGCCGGGGGAGGCAATCAGACTCCCACCACTCGCACACCTGAACAGGTTGTGTAGGGACTTCAGACACCGGGGGCGCATCCAACCCAGCCGGTTGCAGCTGCTCAAGACTAAGTAGCTCCTGCCATGCCAGAGGACGAGCAGTGCAGGTTGGAGAGGTTTGGTAGACTTCAGCCTCTGACTTTCAGTGGTGTAGAGGGCGAGGATCCCAGGGTTTCTTGGATAAGTGTCAAAAGATGCTTCGTATAGCGGGTATTCTAGAGACCAGCGGGGTCGCTTTCACTACTTTTCAATTTTCTGGAGCTGCCTTCACTTGGTGGGAGACTTTTGAGAGGTGTAGGACTATTGGTGCAACACCCCTTACCTGGCAGCAGTTCTCCGTTCTCTTTTGGAGAAGTATGTGCCGCAGTCTCGCAGAGAGGAGCTGCGCAGGCAGTTTGAGTGGTTGCGTCAGGGAGAGATGACTGTGACGCAGTATGAGATGAGGTTCTATAAGTTAGCTTGTCATGCAATTTGGTTGGTTCCGACAGATAGAGAGAGGATTAGGAGGTTTGTTGATGGTCTCACTTATTAGCTTCGTATTCTCATGACTAGAGAGAGGGTGACTGATGCTACTTTTGAGGAGGTGGTAGACATTGCTCGTGAGATTGAGTCAGTTCGTCGCTAGGAGCGAGATGAGAGAAAGGCCAAGAGGCCTCGAGGATCTGGTAGTTATGGTGGTGCTCCTTCAAGAGGTTAGTTTCAGCACGGCAGAGGCCATCCATTCAGGCATGCCCAGCCTGCTCGCCCAGGTTATCGTGGGGCGTCATCGGGTCATGGTTCTCACGGTCCTCATCAAGGCCAATCATCACTTACTGCCCTTCTAGCTTAGAGTTCGTCCCGTGCTCCATCAGTTCAGGGCTCTTCTATGCCAGGTGCATGTGCTAGTCATTCTGGTGCTAGAGGTTCCCTTCAGTCCCCATCTTCAACACACGGGAGTTGCTATAAGTGTGGAAAGATGGGTCAGATATGGAGGCAGTGTCCTCGTCGTCTTGCGGGTTCATCTCAGCAGAGGAGTCAGCCATCGTCTTCAAAGCTAGTTACTTCACCACCACCCGCCCAGCTAGCTAGGGGTGGAGGTCAGTCAGCTAGAGGTCGTCCCAGAGGGGGAGGTCGATCAGGTGGCGGTCAGGCCCATTTCTATGCACTTCCAGCTAAACATAATGCTGTTATT